AATATCGCCACAACATTGGCTTTCATGGGATTTGCAGTAATGATTGACGGCATTAGCGACATCTGTTCGATATGTAATGGCTTTTGGTGGCCACTGTCACAAAATATCACAATTATATGAATTTATTTCCAGGTTAACACAAACATACTCCGAATATTTCTAAATTACCATAATTTTTGTTTTTATTATGCAAAATACCTCATTAACATGCATATATTTCTCATCTGAGGAATCCAGCACATTCATTTCACGCTCATAGACGGTATCTAATCTCACAAATAACGACAGTGTCAATCACAATAATTTCCCTAAAATGACTTACCAGTGTCATTGAAAAACTGGAAAGTACGACATTCACACCATTGTCGATATCTTGCTGAGAAGCTGCATGAATAAATAAACAAATAGTGAAAATAGTTTCGTGTTTTCCGATATGATGGAGCCATTTTCTAGTTTTCTTTATTTCACGGACGAATTCGATGTTCAATCACTAAACAACCGATGGTAAATTGTGAGGAAAAATTAAAACAATATTTAGTCTGGTAGCGTTTAATAATACAAACTCCCCCGTACCTGTTTCTGGACACTGTTTCTCTCCTGCTTTTCCCTCCACCTGCGAACCAAATTTAATGCACCAATCGTTGTTCGTCGTCATAGAGTCTTCAACAACGATGAGCACACATACATAGTTCAGTAGAGGGCAGTATTTCCTTGGTATCGTCACCATAGCTGTCAGTTGCGCGAGTTCGATATTGCTGCCAGCATCGATATTCTGTGATAAATCGGCACCCTGGAGTACGTTGAAAATAACAATGATGGGAGTGAGTGAGTATGTGAACAGGTGAGTGAGTGAATGAATGAATGAATAAATGAATGAATGAATGAATGAATGAATGAATGAATGAATGAATGAAATCAATGGTAGTGATTTACAATGATTTTCCTAAAATGAATAATATTTTGCCCATGTTACCACTTTACTCGCAAAAACAATAACTACTTTGTACAAATTCATAATTGGCAGGGAACGCCGAGTCTTTTCTGCAAGATGTTCCAACAATTATTAAGGTGACGGTCTGAGTCAGATCAGTGTGACACTGGACTCCAGTTAGAATATTTTCCAAAGTGAAAAAACATTCATGATATGATTATATCGTTTTCTTAGAACGGGAGGGTCGTCATCTGCGCACGCGCGGGAATTGAGTCCCAAGCGACGATAACACCACACGCTAAAAACGCGAGGGCTCATGGGTAGACGTTTGTCTGTAAACAATGACACAATATGGCCATCTGACGCATGCGCAGGTGACGACTCCCTCCGCTTTAAAATGATACAATGTAGGACAATGTCAGTGAGTGATAAATACACAATTAATAATAATTGTAAACTTCGATAGATACTCACAGTTGGAAGTGTGACGTTGAAATGCACTGACTGTGTGGCGGTGGCCGAGTCCAGCTCATAGTAATCACTTAAATATAGCTGTATATAGAAATTATCACTGTCGCTACTATTGAGGTTTTCGGGACCATCATTCATCACTGTCACGTCAAATGTAATATCAAGCTCTGTATCGACTTGGTAAGTGGCTGGATTGGGAGATGTAATCACTAATCGTATGGGCTGCAAATCTGTGACTGGGTGAATGGATTATTTATATGATTACCACTGGGGATGGGGTCGCCTATTATTAAAGTGCAGTGGTCGTCGTGCTGCGCATGTGCGAGATATATGGGTCTCATATAAACAAAAATGGCGACTTTGACTGTTGCGCAGACCAACGAGTACGAACTGACACGTTTCCAAGCTTTAGTTAGGTATTTTTTAGGTTATTGGAAGGTATCGAAGGAGTCACCGGCGGTAATTAGTGATAAACTCATACTTGCGATTTCCATTTGAAGAGCGCATTGGATTCTGGGAAAATCAATGTTTATCAACACAAATGTCGAACATGCGCAGCGCGACGACTACCGCTCTTTAATATAGCCATGAATGCAGTTGCACAATACTGCCGTTTCAGATCATGATGCCCATTTGTTTCAAGATTCATTCCAAAAAAGAGACAAAAGGAAGTTTCTTCAATCATTACTTGTTAGTCAAAGTTAAATTCTGCAAAGCTACCGTGTGAAAACAGATTAAATTGGATCAGTTTTTTTAAAGAAAATATTCAGGAAATAAGTTGCAATTGCATTAGAGGTTAGGATCATCAGCTAGCAGATGTTTAGCACCTATACATAGTGAATTTGAAGGAAGGAAACTCCAGTATCCGCATGTTTTGAACGATACAGAGCCCGGTAAATCGAAAGTGAAATATAAATGTTTTGGGTACTATGACAGTTTTGCTAACAATGAATGTTATTTTACGATAATATTTGAGTAGTACAACCTCGTTTGTTTGTTTGTTAGTTAGTTCAGAGGCGGCGGCACGAAATATTATGCTTGGGAGGAGAGGGGTCTGCTCACCAACCTTACTAGGGGGCCGCGGCATGCTCCCCCTTAGTAAATTTGGAAATCTAGACCATGTGAAACGCTATTTCCTCGAAAGAAATGTTGGGGCGTCGCCCCTCCAAAATCAAGCTGAAACCCTTCATGTCAGCAAAATGTGCCCCTCAAAATGCAGGAAATAGCATTTCAAAGGGTCCAGATTTCAAAATTATTAAAGGGGGAGCATGCCCCCCGGACCCCCTAGGAAGGTTGGTGAGCAGATCTCGCTCCTCCATACAAAATTTCGTATCACCGCCTCTGGTGTTGTGTATACGTCATTGAGACAATTGGACTATTATACTACCAGCGTTTCCACTGCATCGGCTAAAACAAGTGTGATGTATTGTCCCGGTAGTCACGTAAATACATATTTAATACATACAACTTTATCAACAAGTACCGTATTGTTAGGGTGCAGTGTGGCAACTGCAAGCGACTAAAACAATATGTTGGGTAGTTACTTTCTATATATTATACCGTTAAAATCGCTTATCGTTCACCAACCCTAGCACGATTTGGCATTGTAAGCAACCCGTATACAGCGTATTTTGTCTCGCGTTGGTCGCTTGCGGTGTGGTAGAGGTGATACAACGGCTACGTTTACGAGATCAATGAACACATACGCTGAAACATACCTTGGGTGTACACAACAGTTGTTGTCGCTAACATCACCAACATCAATGTAACACACCACATATTGAAGTGCCCGGGGTAAAAACGACGATACAGAAAACAAACCTCTAAATAAGCTGCCTTCTATTTTCTACACCTGTAATGTAACGCTTCCTCATGCTCACTTTGCTCGACGGGTCACTACGGGTCGATGAAATTGCTTTGTGCTGGTTTCATTTGTTATTCAAATACTATTAACATCATAATTAGCCTTAGAAAACGAATCGTGGGCACCACGTGTTCAGAATTAGCAATCGAGTTGTTCAATGACATACTATAATACATAGTATATTTGGGTTTACCTCTATCTGTGATATTCCGGTAACAAAATTCCAATCTTTAAAGAGGTCACATGAAATATAAACTGGATGACGTGTTTTTGAACGCCCCTATAACACAACGATTTGAATTATCTTGTTTTACCGACTACAAATATATATGTAAATATTTCATATATTTATGGTTTATAATATTGCAGTCATAAATTTATTTGATTGCGCTACCATTCGAAAAAAAATAAAACACATACCATTAACTGTCTAACGTACTGAGCACAAATATTAAAACTGTATAAACAGGTGGTATCGTGTGTTATGTTATTTCACTGCCGTGATTCAGACGTATCCTGAGCTGGCTTAGCAACTGTAATGTTGAACTACATCTGGAAAGTTACCATTCTTGTGGTAGCACATATTGTACGATGTATACAGTAGCAAATTGCATAGGTTAGGATCACAGAAACTTGTAAAAAGGAGTGTGAGTAAATCCTATTTCTCAACACCCACCCAATAGGCGAACAATTATCATGTACTTATTTTATTCCAAATAAACCCTCACCCTAAAAAACTCTAAATAAAAAAAAAGAAAACTGCGATCACGTTTGGTACATATATCTATTTATATATACCAATGTATACACTGCCGTGTTGTCCGAATATGAAGATACCTCTATACATAACATAGCATACTTATTAAAACCTTGCCCGTTGAAAATCTAGATATTATATAAAGACTGACTGTTATATGCTTATCGCATTGGTGCCCGAGGACGTATTCGAGATGTAAATTAAATGCTGAGGTACTTATTAATAGTTGTATAATAATATTTTGATAATAATCAATCCTTAGAAACCTCAAATTAACTAGTTCTTGGACCGTGACGGACATCTGCGTTTTTTTATTATCCTTGAATGAATCAAATATACAATTTTGTAGTTATGCAGTCATTTTAATGTTTTGTTATTTTGCGATAGAGTTCAGCTGTTATAATTAATTGTGCACGTTCTGTCAAGTGAAAAGAATTTTTCTGGAATGTACTGTTGAAAGTAATATTTAACCCTGGTAGGTAAAGTACGTTATTATTAACTAACAAATGGTTCCCACTTATGAAGGTAAACCCCGGGAAATTACATTTCGGATCATTACGACGTCAGACAGAAATTCTTTCAAAACAAAATATGCACAATAATTGTATATATTCGTGTTCATGTGCCCGTAACCTACATGATTCTACATCTATCAGCGTAACGTCATAAGTTAAAGCGTGTCGTAATTTTGCGGTATTTTACGGGGTATTTTAATCCTACCATATTAGAAAATGCGAATTCCCAATATGGAATGATTACGCGCGTAAGCGTCCTTTAATAATAAAAACAAACATGGCTTCCACCAGAGTTTGACTGGATTCAACACAAAGAAGTTCGCTGATTCTGTTCTAAACATTTTGGATTTTGGCATTCCCATGATGTATCCTTGGAAGAAAAAAGACATAAGGTTAATACGCGAATACCTCAAAGTATGCAGTCGTAATAACCTCGTACTCATTTATCTGATATATTATCAACACCTGTAGAACTCAGTAATTACCTCCAAACTTTCTCTGTCACTCACTTTAAAGGCACATCTTGACTGCTGCAGAGTTAAATAAAAAAAAAACTAAATTTCATGATGTCCTTTGTAAAAAGATTTTATTTTGTTAAAATTTACAAATATTACAAATTCAAAAGTTAAACTGTTAATAAATCACCACATCGAAATAAATCAAAATTGCTAAGTATCGCCCTCTAGCGACAAAGCACGTCTTGTTCCTAGGCCAACAAATATCAACCGCCATTTTGTTGTAAGTGATGTGTCACCAAGATGTCGTCGTTGCTCGGTAAAAACGAAACATGATGATACTAAAAAAAAGCATTTGGCTATTTCAAACATGCGCGTGGAATACTCAAAACACGAATCATGGCACAGTATTTTAATATTATTCCTTTCATTCAATAATCCAGTTTGAAATTGGATCAAATGCAAGTTACAGTCTGTCAGTTTTTAGTTTAAACAATCGATAGTGTTGAATTGAATCGAAATCAAGTGAACCACATAAAACAATTAAAATATATTTGAGTGTGTAATTCCACATATTATTATGTTTTTATAATTATTATAACTGAAAATATGGCAATATTCATTGTTTGGTATATACAAAAAATATTGTGGAATTCTAAAATCTGTTTTATTTTATTTATTAAGGTTAATATTTCAATATTTAATCTCTCCTATCTAACAATGTCACAGCTTTCCAAATAAATCGATTTGGAGTTTCGTTTAAGTGGATTAACTCTGGAATGTTCAACAAATATTTATTTCTTAGGTTACTGAATTCAGAGTCTGAATGAGTCGAGTACCTAGACATATGATCGATCACGTGATTATATTCAAACATTATGCTGTACATCACTGGTAAAGATCTGATCCGGTAAGATGGCGGTTGATACTTGGTCCTTGTGGGTGACCGTTGATTGAGGGCAAAGAACCGGCTTAGGTATAAGCACATACTCGGAGACGTTGAGGGCGTCGGTTTGTTTTGATCCGCGGTCGTCCGCTAATATTTTTCATAGATTTGCCTATGATTCTGAATACACAACCAACCAACCGTCCTAGAGGGCGCAGTGGGTTTTCTGAAATGCAATATGGTATCTTTGGGTGGAATACTAGAACGTGAATGACACGAAATGGACACGTTCTCGTCAGGTTCAAGTAAATCTGGCCCCCTAACTGTTCTTTCGTGGGAGAGGGCCGAAGAGTTTATGAAATATATTAGGAAATAATGCAGACTTGCATTTAGTAACGAAGTACTGTTTCATAAAGTTGGGTCCCTGAGTTATTGTAAGGCAGTGTCATCCATCCTGCAATTAAATCATCACAAGTCATTCTTTCTCGTGACCCAAAAATGGTATAGCAACAAGGGGCCGTACTTTTTAAAACGACACTTTTGTTTCAGTTGTTCGCGTACTACTCCGGCTCTACAGGGAAAAGTATCCGCATACCCAGACGAGTTTATCACCAGTATCCGTTTTGTTGTATACGTTTACCACCAGTACCCGGGGCTGCTTCGGCAGGGAGAGGGAGCTCCCATTAAAAAGTTGTGTAGATGTAAGTGGGACTTCTTTTTCAACCTTCACCGGGACGGTATTCCCCCCCCCCGGGGGTACTGGTAGTGACAAATGAGTACAGTCGACATTGACGTTGAACCCCCATTGAGGGGTTAAGGGGTGAGTAGAGCGAGTTGACGGCTCCGTGTCCAAATATCTGCGGTGCATAACAAGGCTGTATTAGTCAGTATGGTAACTCATGTCACGGGGAATACGCAAACACAGACACACAAGTTGGGACTGAAACTATTATCGTTCTTGATCTTCCGAGAGTTGATTGTTGTGAGCATTCCGGGTGATCCAACATCCCGTCAAGTCAGTTACGACACAGTGTATTACGTCATCTCAGCGTTGCTCTATTTTCATTTCATACTTGTCTTATTGGTATACGTAGACTTGAACGTCTCTGTTAAAATATTTAGCATAGTTACACAATGCAATGTACGATTGAACGTGCAAGAAGAAAGCAAATAGTATAAGCATCGTGTCAGTAAGAGTATCCTAGTTAGATACTTTTATTACCATTATGGAAAAAAATACACAGAAGAATTATAATTACCCAGGGACAGGACGAGTAAAATTGTACATTAAAATGAAAATGACCCGAATCGTTTACGCCACTTTCGATCGCGCGTTAATAAGTTTGTTTTACCTCAACTAAGTAAGTAAATCTGTTTAGGGAACACAAATTGAAGTGACGTAGTACGAAAAAACCCACCGCGTGTACTCCACTATTTAGTTACGTCGTCTACTAGTATTCCAAGAAAGTCGAAAAAGAAAAGTAGTCTCCCGATCGGAGTCCGTTTACCCGCCCCATCCTCACTATATGATACCTACTTGTTTCGTTGCGGTAGCACCAACCATATCACAGCACCGATAACAGTGAGTGAGATGAGGGCACATACAACAATAACAGCAATCAACCACGATTCAATAAAGAACTCATCCTCTCCCATATGTTCCGTCATACTCACTCCTATGACGTGATAATCAATTTCCTGTGAAGATAACGCCATCGTTCTTAGATGTATTCAAGCAGTGGTTTTACGGCAAAGTTTATTTGGATACATTTAATTGTTATAAACAAATAATTCGTACTCACATTTCCTAAATCATCTCGGTGTTCGTTTATCGACCCATATAGGGCGTCCTGGGTTAAGTAGAACATATCTTCACTTGCTCTCCGTACCCTCAGACTGTCAGACGGATTTCGAATATTTCTTCGTTTTCTTGAATTACTGGAGCTTCCCAAATTACAAAGTGTGTTGTTGTCTTTTGCCATGATGTACGTCATTATCCTTCGTGCATGACATTGACAAAGTCGTTTAATTACAGTACATGTAGTTAGTTTGAATACACACTTAAATACGTTTGATGGTGAAGCGGTATGTTTCCATAGGTGAATGACCATGTGCATATTTTTTTTTTACTGCCAATTCATTTTATGATTTATTGGTTGATCAATATTCCCATGTCGATCACATTCTACCCAATTTTCTATTTATGCATTCATCCTTATCGATCAACCAATCACTATTTACTAACCTGCCATTTTCTCCATTCGTGGATTGTACAGGAAATCCTCTCCCAATCTTAACGTCGTCGGCGTCAACCACGTCGGCCAAGAGAGTACTGCGTCTATGGAGCGAACGTACGACACGTACTCTATATTTACTCGCAATCTGCCCGTCCAAGTATCCATGTATTACATACTTTGTTATTACAATTATTAATATGATATGATGTGCACCTTAGATGAATACACATCGGGTTTGCGAACAATAATACAATTTTAAAGGATTACATTTAAAGGGCGGTGGTCGTCAATATATGCATGTATTTTACACGCGTTGTGTACGTCGCAATGAGCCCTATATCGAACAGGACGCGGCACGACGACCACCGCCCTTTGGGTTCAGGAAGAAACAAGTTTCAAATATATTTTAAGTAATTTGAGTGGACTATACCCTAACTGATACATTATATCCTATGTTGTGAATTACACTAATAGTTATTTTTAAGACAAGTTGAAAGGAAATTAATTATATATACTCACTTTGATCCGTAACCTGGACAACACGCTCCAAAATGCGAGTTGATATTACAGTAGGTGTTAACCAAATTGGCAACCGCCTGACGATAACTTGTGACAATTGGTGGCCACTGAAAACGAAGAATTCAAACTGAATTCAACGATATCAATCAAAATATCAATGCAGATCATGGTATGAATTTGATTATAAAAAAACGTGTTTTAAGTTTTAAAAAAATACCTGATCAGCGAGGATGATATCTTCTAATGTAACTACGACGCCATATCTTGATTCAACTTCGTCCACTGCGAATCAGAACGAATATGCAAATTACATGGATTTTTAAGAGCATGTGCAGTTTGTTACCAATTTCGTTTGCTCGAAAGGTTCTATGGTGTCATATTTCATAAGCATCGCGCAAATCTTTCGAAGGTTTAACTTACTATAATTTTGACACTGTTTTTCACCGGCTTTCTCGTCGTCTTGTAGTCCAAACATCACGCATTTATCGTCGTTTTCCACGTTAGAATCTGTGTAAGACGAGTCGACTATTTCAGGAACTATACAAATATAGCTATAAGCGCCACAATTCTCACTAGGAATCTTCACCTGACCTCTCAACCCTGTAAGCATAATGGACTGTCCCGCATCAATCGCTTGATTCACTCCTCGGTCCTAAATAAGAAAAACAAAACAACGACTTGCGAATATTAAAACGGTGTTAGAACAATCACTTATCCAAAAATGATTCACTTAGAAAACAAACATCAATAACCAATGTGAAAATGTTTTGAAGCCACACAGCTACTTCCGTTAGTCATTATATTGTTAAAGGGCGGCAGTCGTCGCGCCACGCACGCGCGAGATATATGGGTCTCATATAAACAAAGGTGGCGACTTTGACAGATCAACGAGTACAAACTGAGACGTTTCCAAGCTCTAATTAGGTAATGTTTAGGTACTTGGAAGGTATCGAAGGAGTCACGGGCGGTATTCATTGCCAGTCGAGCCCAGGTTAAACCTCATACTTGTGATTTACATTTGAAGAGCGCATTGGATTATGGGAAAATCAATGTTTATCAACACAAATGATGCACATGCGCAGCGCGACGACCACCGCGCTTTAAAAGTGATACTTTGACAGGTTTCCAGAGTTACCTCTTGGCGTCGTGCATTCGCAGCGGCGTCCAACAACCAGGCAACTAGCGACCTCGTCTGGTGGAAGAACTCACGCAGCCAATATAGTTGAACACGGTTAGTAACCGTGATTTGAACGACATTGCGTTCACCCACATGTCATTTTGACGTCACCAAAGTCTTCCGTCACCAGAGGGCGAGATTTATAGAAATGGTGTATCGACACCGAGAACATATAAATGTGCTTTACAATCAGCAATCTATTTGGTTGGTTATAAATAAAGAATAAACCTTACCGATATGGCTATACATACCATGACGGTTTGTTGTGACGTGTCCGACGTCGAGTCTTCGTACTGTGGATTGTCTGTCAGATACAACTTCAAAATAAAATTGTTGCCATAGTTACTTCTGACGGTCAAATCTCCCGTGGTTGCAGCCACGTTCGAGATTTCGACAGTGAATATGATATCTATACGAGTATTTTGTTGGTAGACTACTGGATCTGGTGATGTGACTGTGAATTCTGTGATGGCAATATCTGCAAACAGAAATTGAAAGAAAGAGAGAGAAATAAACGTGCATTAACATCTTTTTTCTTTTTTTTTTATTTATTTATTATTATTTCACCAAATAATAAAAAAATACAAGACACACACAGAAAAAATAATGAAAAAAACAAAACAAAACAAAAAACTTATGTTCACAATAGCTGATCTAATAAACTCCAATATAATCTGAAAGACTTTGATTTGACATTGTATATCCTTATTTTGTACATATCTATTTTCTTTTGGTATGCTAAATAAACACATAAATTTACAAAAGATGGCTTTACATTCTTGTACCTACAATTGAAAAATACATTTTAGTTTCTGTGATATCATAGAGACTTACATAGCTTGCTGTGTTTTTTTTTTCTATTCACAAAGACGGGCCAAAACATTTCATTTCATTGTCTATTCTTGTTTGTGATTGACAACGTTTGGGACATTGTGACGTAGCTCCGTCTTTGACAATCAGCCTGAGTAGCTGCTTATATTACTAACTCATATACAACCTGACCTATATCAATACGTGGAATATACTTTGAATTTTTGTTATTTTAGTGAAAAATTGTGCATTTTCAATGTTTTAGCCTTCACCGTTTTTTTTTTTCACAAAACAAAGAATACGAGTCCAGACAATGCCAGCCCAAAATTACATACATAATGATATTATTGAACGTTAAGTTTCTATAATCAGGGAATTTTACAGTAAAATGCGACTACCTGGATTGGTGGCGAATGTACAAACGCCTTGCAGGAACAGTATAGTAACGATCAACCCAGGACGCTGCGTTGCTGACATAGTTCCCGGATGTCTGTAAAATAAGAATTGTCGTTCGCACCTGGTTACGTTTGAAATGGACATATATTTGTGAAACGCGTCTAACCATTGAACGGATGCTTGTGAATGTAGTTCAGGAAATGTGAAAATGTAGAGTATGCCGGAAACAGTTCACCTGCCCTGAAGTCAGAATGGGTGAAACCATTTTAAGAAAGAAGGTGTATAGCAACAAACTTTCATGGTAAAAACAATCACATGATAGTTTACTGTTTCTCTGGCCACGTCAACGTTTGGCTTCAAGCACACCATTCTAAAACGAAAATACTAAAAACATTAGGTTGTAACTCAGCCTGAGATTGCAATTACCTGTACGTGTAGTTAATTAGGTATAGGTATTTGTAAACGCATGCGCATTACCATTTTTCAGTATTTTATCGAATGAATTCTGCTTTTGTACCGTACCGTAATGATTTTATCAAGATAGAATATCGAAATTAATTATTCAAATTTGCTTAAAACATTTAAAGCTATCCATATAAGTTGCCATTTTAAACAAGCTGGCTTTTATCACTTTTCCTTATTATTTTTAATTTGCTTGTCAAATGAAGGCATGTTGGCAATAGGAAATTGTGTTAATTTTATTCAACACTGAAAAGGAGGAATTATATGAAACATACGCAATGGTTTAACAAATATACTTTTGTGTTATTTATCCGGTCGCATGATGACATTGCGGCAAATTGTAGATTAAAAAACGATACAATCTAATTATTACGTATAATCATAGACCTTATAGTAGTATGAACCAATGGTAACTTTATAAAATTGGTAAAACCACTTGACCTCCACCATTGCTATATTTGTCCTGTAAATTACAGTACACGTATCGCTGTAAATTGCACGGCTACCCCAATTTTATTTAAATTACATTGCATTAAATTTCGGCGCGTTACGTTACAGTACGTTACATTATGTTTCATGCTCACCGGAGTAGGTCAACGGTCATCGTGAAACTTGCCATTACCGTAAAAGAAACGAACTTTCGTCATGCTTGCATGGCATTTTTATGTGGGCTTTAGTTGATTTAGCACAGTGAACTAAAACATGAACACACCCTTTGTCGCACACATCAACTATGGCTTTCACTTATAGCTCCGCAACGGGAAATGAATATGCAGATATGGAAACATTCTTGGGATACGAAATCAAGCAATAATTACCCGCTGACGTCAGTGTAATAAAACTGAAGGCTACTCTATAAAGAAACACGTCTGATCTTTGCGGCCAAGCGACAAAGTTTACAGCGGCAAGAAATAATAAAACTGCGAAACTTCGATTTTTGTTTAAATTCTGTTAATATATTCCCACATGGTTGACTTAGCGGGATGTCAAGCGCAAACAGTAGAGGGAAGAACACAGAGGCTTTGCTGGATTACTATAACACTCGTGGGCCGTGGGTTGTTGTTTCGATCAATAAGGCAATCCATTTTAACTCCAAACATTTAGAGTTCTTCTTTTGCTGATATTGCCAGTTAAACAACGAAGATCAAGATACAACGATTCAAAGTGTCTAATAATATAAAATGTCGCTTGATGTTTCGTGGACTTGTGAAGGTAAAAGTGAGTTATTGTAAACACACCGCCTATCAGCCCACATACATAAACACAACAATGCTAACTCACGTCAATATACTAGTATTTACGCTGTCCCAACACGTCGCTGTCTGTAAGGATGTAATCCACTGTACCAATTCCGTGTAACTATTCACCATTGACCCAGAGAGTCTGCTTCTAACCAAACCAACGCCCAATTAAAAACGGCACCTTTCTCTGCTCGCTGTGCTACGCCAATTGAACGGCAATGGGTCGCTTTGATCCCAGCCTATTATAATATAGAACGTCGACCTTGCAACCTGTTGGCCAGGTGACTGGTGTCATGCATACGATTACCGTTGCGGGTCGTTTGACCTTCACCGGGGAAAGCCAAGCTGTTTTTGAGAGTTCTAAGTATAAGTAGTGGTCGTCTTTAATCATAACACAATGAGATGGACAACTACCAGGGCAAAGGAAGATAGAATTATTAGAATATTACAACAATAATTACAGCAATAATTCCAGGCTGGCATAGCCATTTATATACGTCATATTTACAGTTCACTGGAAGGGGGCTTTGTTATTTCCTTTAATTTCATTACTATCACAACAAACTACGTAATTAATATTCATGACTATACTGCAGGCAATGTTGTAATGTACCAGATTATCATATTTAGCATATTACTGAGGTCACGCAAGTGTGAAAAATGTTAACAATATCCTAGTATCATATAACAGTAATATTATAATGGTGTGTCGATACTCGGCATCGACCCATGGTATAATCCATATCAATATTATTTTATTTTTAACTTTCTATTTAATTTTGTTCTTATTTTTTTCTCTATTACTTTTGTGTCTAGGGTGCAGTTATTAACATACTCTATGACCGTATTATTATATACTATTTTTTTAAATAAATAAAATTCCACTAAAATGGTTACATAACTAATAGAAAAATTCAATAAAAAATCCCATTCAACTAAAAACAGACGAGAAATACCAGTGTTTTGGCAGGGGATATCTCCCCGTTTCTATCTTTAGGCGGCGATTGCCGAATTTGGCAATGTTTTCTCGTATTAATACTAGTAATTAGTTAGCGTTGTTAAGTATTTTTCCTGGTCGAAATTATTTTTGAATTTCTTGTATGTTCTCAACTTATTTTCCATATTAGGTTGTTTCTTTGAGTGCTACAGCCGTATTATATTATTACTAAACTATGCCAATACATGGCATCGGACATGTGGAATATGGTGGGCGTATGGAACGTTGTTCGACAGCTTACAGGCTGACGTTGATCAGAATCACGGCGAGAAGAGGCCTTACCGTTCGATGTATCTAAAATAGTCGAATTCTGATTTCTGGGCCCAGGGTTAGTTCACATTTGACTATCAACTTATTCAGAATGCTCCGTAGTAGTTATGATCTAGTTTCTCTCATTTGGGGCGTTGTTTGTCCCTAAAAAGTTCGCAAAAAGTATAATGGTATGATCGTTGTTACAAATAGACATATAAATTGGGACACGTGAAACAAAAAATAAAAATATTCTTCTATTTTCATATGGATTTGGCAATGTGTGTTTACTATGTTGGCGCCATAAAAAACATCTGTTTGTAACCACATATGTTGAGTACGGATTCACATTGTCACGTTTTCGTTGTTCAAACCAAAAACTACATATTGGGTAAGGACAGAGTAGGTGTAGACAGAGATGAAAGAACCCGTGTGTTAAATGCAATCGACAACGAATTCCATCTCGTCCTCGGTGGCCCTCTATTTCCATAAGTCAAGAACCAACTTGATTCAAAACATATTTTGGCATATCCCTACTTGTGGACGTATTGAAACAAAATTCAACAACTGTGATTGGAACAAGGCCAGCAAATGGAATTTGTGTAAGTGTATATTCACTTCAATATAAATGAATTGTATTTATCGATTTTAGGTCTGTTCTCTCTTAGGGATTGGTCAGTTACTTCGGCCTAGGGGGGGTCGGTGGATCAGTAGGGGGGTTACCCTGTTTTTGATTGTGCGAATAGGGGGGGGTCACCTTGTTTTTGATATCATGTTTTCCAGAATTCACACACGCGCTCATGCATATATAATTAAATATATCAAAACAGCGTATACAATAAGAGAACAAATAATATTACCACAGTAGTTTACTTTTTCTTGTTTGTTTGTCACACTTTTTGTTTTGTTTGTTTTTAACTTTATTACCTTCTACATTTGTAGAAACCAAAAAAGAATTGTCAAATTTTCTTTAACGTTGTAATAAAGCAATATTCTATTCTATTCTATATTTTTAAAAATTTTATTTCAGAACAAATGATAAAAAAGTTAATCGTACAAATGTGTTCTTAATAATAACTATTACCTATAAATTTGTTGATGC